GTCAAGAGTTCAGAGATAAAATAAGACAGTTTATTGCGAGCGGTTTTGCTCCATCTGATGTTTTCAATTTAGAGTAATCCAAGTTGGGATTCTTCTCAAAAACTTTTACCATTTTGACAGAAATAGTGATGAATCAACTGTATTGCTAGTATGACAATAAAATTACAAAGACCTATTTTTAATCCATTTAGAGGTGACATTATTTCTAAAAACGTTTCTGTAAATTACGTCATGGTAAACCTAACGTGAAAAAAGTAATGTAATGCTCGAATGGATAATGAGTATTTCTGCCTTAAATTACAGAATTAAATAACTGAGGCAGAACGTTTAAATTTTCCCCCTAGTCTCTTCCACATAGTGATTAATTGTTAATTGGGATAAAAACCGAGCTGTTGCATTTTAAGTCAGGAAAAGACAAGAGAAAATATTGCAATTTGTAACTAAATTCATTCAATTATTTAGCTTGTGACTTTGACATTAAGTTGGCAACATTGAACATGTAAAGGCTGTTTCTACAGGCTGTTCCGGTTAAATCTCACATTAGTAGTTATGGAAGTTCTAACAATGATATTTATCTAAAATTAATCGTCTAGATTCTACTCAATGAAAATATTTTCAAGATGGCAGCACTTCCGGTTACACCAGAAATGGGTATCAACTTTGTTATTTTAAATAAAAAGTTATATATTGTATTGCGTTTTTGGATTACTCAAGTGATTTTGAGAGAGTTTTTTCAGACTTTCCTCTACCTAATTTTTTTTTTAAGTTTTTGAAATATTTAGACTTTTTTGATTTTTTTTTAATTTGCATCTTCCTCTCCAAAAATCGATAACTCTACCATTTTTAATTATTTTGAAACCATATTTGGACGTATGAAAAAGAAAGGTTAAATCTTTTCTTTCGTGTAATTATAATTGGAAAAATAATTAACAAACCTCCAAAATTTAAGGTTACGTTTTGGAAACTTAATACCCGAAACTGATTTTTTTCAAATAGTAGGCCCCAATTTTTTCTTTACTAAATGAAAGAAAATTTAATTCTGCTTTGATCTGTGTCAACATTGCCTATACCTAAATTTAATGATTTCCAAGTTATTTTGACTTTTTTTTACAATGGAAGAAATTCATTACTATCCAGTAGTGTTCGCATAGTTTGCCATGAAAATATTTCTCACTGAAAAAACGCCAAGTTTTTTTTCACAATTATGTTATTCTTTTCGTAAATACAAATTATTTTTTTTTAATCTAAATTTGAATAACTTTGCTATTCTATTTTGTTCTTATTTCAATGATAACCTTTGCTAAAGTAGCTAATGAATTTCTCACAATATCAAAAAAAGTTACTATAACTTGAAAACTATCAAACATAGGTATAGAGAATGTTAATACAGATCGAAGCAGAACTAAATTCTCCTCCATTTAGTGAAGGAAAAATTGGGGTGTTTTATTTAAAAAAGTTGAGTTAAGGATATTTGAAGTTTCCTAAACGTAACCTCACATTTTGGCGGTTTGTTAATTATTTTTCCAATTATGAATACACCAAAGGAAAGATCTATCCTTTCTTTCCCGTATACCCAAATACGGTTTCAAGATAATAAAAAATAGTAGAGTTATCGATTTTTGAATAGGAAAATTCAAACCAAAAAAAAAAAAAAAATTAAAAAATTAAAATTATTTCGAAATATTTCTCAATAAAATAGAGCTTGAAACAAATAGGTTATCACTTGAATAAGCCATGTGTGCAAAGTGGTGTCATTAAATTTTTGTTGATTTTTTATACAGTTTGTGTGACCCCAATATTAATCTTTTAATTGATGATAGTGCTGCTGCAGTGGTCGCTTGATGTATAATTTAGATCTAAATTTAAAATCCGAATATACACCAAAGCAAAAGTCGTGTCTAAAATTCAAATGGAATTCCATGATATGCATTTAAAACCGGATTATTTACTTCTTATGGTTATAAAAGCTTGTTAATGCTACTCTAAATATTTTTTCAAGATTCATCCAAACTAATAAATATTGATTTATTGCGTACTTTGGCGAAGGTATTTGGCTTAATGTACCGTTATCTAATCTATTACTATAAAATAAAAAATTTTAAAATATTGTGATTCCAATTAAGAGAAATCTATGTAGAAGAGTCTACATTTATCCTACCATCATTATTAATTTATGTCTCACATTTTTAAATGAAGATATCATATCGTTATGTTAAAAAAATGCATAACAAGATCCGCATCTACGAGGTTATAAATTATAACACGATACTTGGTAGCTCGGTATAAAATATTATTTAATTACAATCAACTTCCATTAATCTTCGTAGACACAATCGTGAGAATAATTATTTTGAGAGCATTTTCATATAAAGCGTGCATTGAAAATAAGTGACCAAAGTCGAGCACTTATTTCTGACTCAACGCTATATGTGTAAAACGTTTAATTAGACGACATAAACATAAAATATTTAATTAATTTTTGCACAGTATTTTATTATAATTTGTTCAGTAAAAAAAATCCAAATTGCACAGTAAAAATAATAAACGCTCAGTAACTTTAATCAAAATTAGTAAAACGACATAAAATTTAAAGAATTTTCAGTCTTGGTTACATAAAAATGTATGGCCCCTGCGCAAGAATGTTATTTATTATTGGTACTTATTTTTATATTACTGAATATTTATTATTATTGGAGGGTGGTATATGTATTAGCAAGGGCCCCTGCGCAAGAATGATTTTAGCAAAGGCTGGAAACTGCGCACAAATGGTAATCAGTCTAATCAGCGTACGGCACTCTTTGCACTGCTGTGCTCCTGATACCACAATTTTGTTTTTTTTAATTTTTTCTGTTCATTTTTTATTTTTCTGTGCACTTATTAGGTATTTTTACTGATCAAAAATACTTTTACTTTAAATAATATACTGTGAATTTATATAATTATAAAATAAATATAAAATAATAGACAACGAAAGTTTTAGAGCTGTAAAAAAATAAAATGATCGTAGATGAAGTGATATTTTTAATTTGATGACAAGTTTATGTTAATAAAAAGACTTTTCAAATAAAATTATAGTATTTATAGCGACAGACTTTGGAATATTTGCATAATGTAATTAATTTTTTATTTATTTATGAGGGAAGTGTTTTAAGTTTTGTAATTTATCTTATTGTCACAAAAATACTACAGAATCAGGTTGTAAAAATTTATAGACTGTTTGTTTTTCTCTTTATTTCTTTAATGAAGTTCGGTATTAACACATCCTTGTCTAACATTAACTCTTTTAAAAATTTTAAGAGATTATTTTAATTTTGTTTTTTCTTTATTACAAAAAATTAATTTAATTGTGGATTTAGTTGACCACTGTTGGAGCTACCATTAAAAATAACAACAAGCGGCACTTTTCTCGTCTACGGTTCATTCCTTGAATACCTCTAGTGACTTTTATTGTTCAGGATGCATTAAAAACCAATATCTCTAAAAATCAAGCTAATAAATTTCGATTTATTGATTAAACCGTAATAAAACATCGAGAAAGTGTATTAAACATCTAATAGATCTTTGTTCTCACCCCTTACTTTAAACAAGACTATTTAATCACCAAACTATCAATCAAGGATTTAATAGTGCCAGAGTTCAACGTTATTTCGATAAACACTATGAAATAAAGTCACTTGAAAAATTTTGTATTTCCTGTAAATAAATAAATGGAACGCAATTTATATGTCAAATGAATTCTTCGTGTCTTGAGTCAAAAACATGTGAATCTATTTTTTATAAAGACGTGTTGATGTTTCTCCTAATGTGACGAGTTGTATGCAGATCTACACCATTGTATTTCGAATCTTTACAAAAAAAATCATTCAGTTTCAAAGCTAAGTTAACAGAGAAGTCGCTGTTGGCAGTGTTTCTGCCCTCGGTTATGCAAACCATAGGCGTAGAGCATAGTTGGAAAATAATTTTTTTTAACACTTGAGTTATTACATACAAAAAAATCCTGTCGGATTCGAAAATCTTGAGTAGAAAGTATAAATTATGGGGGCTCGCGGCTTTGCCGCTCGCCCCCGTTAAAACTCACACTAACAGATTTTTTCGATATTTTTTTAGAGCTCATACTACCTGATTATCATACACAGAATACTAGATTACATGCGTGGTAGAAAATGTTGACCTTTAAATGGTAAAAAATGGACTTTGTCAACTCGCTGAGACACCCTGTATGTATCAAGGGCTTGTTTAAAGCCTGACCGCAGCGCTGAGGGCCTTTAAATGCAAGAGGGATATATGTCTGTGGCTTATACAAAATTTCATTTACTTTTTTACAAAAATCACGACTGAGTGGACAAAATTTTAACAAAAAAAATAAAATTGGAAATATCGTAGATCTTCCTAAATACGGACAACAGAAAATTAATATTTTACACATTGTTGAGGAAGACTTAGCTCTATTCTGTGATGTAATTTTTATCCCCCGTTAAAACTTACACTAACAGATTTTTTCGATATTTAGGGGGCTCGCGGCTTTGCCGCTCGCCCCCTTTTAGAGCTCACACAAAATAGTAGATTACAACCACCACGGGATGTAATGATTGTAATAATAATTGTGAATAAAGATATTTTCTTTTCTTGTGTAAAATTTGTGAGCCCCTTTGTGTGGCGCCCATGTCCATTGCGGCAATTTATTAAAAAAGAAAGCAGGCCTGTTATTTATGTCTGAGATTAAAGACATTCGGTGCAGAGAAGAGATAAGAATCTAGTCCTATAATGCTCTTGCTTTGGCTAACAAGATCAGAGGAGGCGACGCAGGCGGTGGAAGGCGTAGTTAATTTGGATCAGTTCACGCACCCCGTTGTCGCAGCCTCCCTGACCACAACAATTAACTCAGAAACAATGAGGTGGTAACAATGGGAATAAATCGTGTAGATCCCCTCCAGAAGAAGAAGAAGCGTCTTTTGTTTCCGAAGATGACCGATTGTAGACGCCGCGAAGAGTGAGTTGAGATCTCGCGGCAGTTGTGTTTCATCCATCGGGCGGGGAGTCTGTTGGAGTTGGCGTCGCGAGCTTTTTACCACGTGTGCCGGCACCACGTGTTCAGTGGAAAGCATGTTGTGCGCATGAAAATGCTCTTTGATTGAATGCGACAAAATGATTTATAGGTGAGTTGCGAAGCTCAGCCACCGGCGAGCTTTTCCCGAATGTTTTTCCTTATAATAAATCAAAATTTAACAACGACGCTGGATTTTCGTTCGGGCAACCCCCAAAAAAGCATTTTTTCAACGATTTGTCACGGGGTAATGTGACACTTACATGTCTTATAAATATATATTTATTTATCCAGGTTGACATCTTATTAAACCGAAATTCGGGGTCACGCACACAGGGGGTGGTTTTGAACCCACCCCAAAATAATATTCTAATATTTATTTACTCATACAGGGTGTCCCAGTGAGTAAAAAAAGACAATTAGTGACCTTTAAATTGTGAAAAATGGACTTTGTCAACTCGCTGGGACAGCCTGTATGTATCAAGGGGCTGGTTTAAAGCCTGACCGCGGCGCTGAGGGCCTTAAATGCAAGAGAGGTATACAAAAAAGGTTTATACAAATTTTCATTTACTTTTTTACAAAAAATCACGATTGAGTGGACAAAAAAATTAAAATTGGAAATATCGTAGATCTTCCTAAATACGGACAACAGAAAATTCATATTTTACACATTGTTGAGGAAGACTTAGCTCTATTCTGTGATGTAATTTTTATATATTTTTATTACTAAGGCTCGGATTATATGTACGAAAAATTCGTAAAATATGCGCATATATATATGCACGCAGAAATATGCACAAGATATTAAGAAATATGCTCTAATATATGCCAAATGTGCATCGATATGCAAAACTTTTAACAATAAAAAATTAAAGTTGGGATAATTTTTTATCCTCGAGTACAACTATCTATTTTATATTATATTAAAAAAAAATTAGATAAAATGCAATTTTGACAACAAAAATTGAATAACTCAAGAACAAAACAAAATTTTGTTCTCAAAATAAAATATTTTTTTATTACTTTAATTTATATTAATTATTATTTTTTGGAAAAAAAAAACGATTTAAAAAAACGCTTGGTCCGATACTTTATATTCACCCTGTATAAAACGAATTCAAAAAGAAAACACTCAGCAGGATACTAATTTTTTGAGTCTGGCTTACGAATTATCGGCTGTTTTCTCTTTAAAATATTTTGTAATCGGATGATTTTTTTAACCTGCCCAATTTTTAACTTGAATTGAAATTTTTAATCAGAAATTTGTGATTTGAACAAAATCTGCACAAATATGCAACATTTTATAAAATATGCACGTTGCCAAACTATGCAAAAAAATGCAAAAAATATGCAAATTTTATTTGGCTTATTTTAATCAAAAAACATTAGTTATGCATAAAAAACTTACAATTTTGTTGATATACCTCTCAACAACAAATATGCATTTTGCATATAATCTGAGCCTTATTTATTACATAGGGTGCTTACTAAAAGTAAAATTTTTAAGCAATCATATTTTTTTTTAAATCTATAGTTCTACATTTTTGAAAATATTTGATGATATTTGGAAAATAATTTTCAAATGATCTTTAACGAGATGTGAAAAAACAATAATAAAAAAAATTGTAATAGAAATTGTAACAAAGAAATAAGAATTTTTAAAATTTTGCTATATACCCACATTTTTCAATAATATACAGTGTTTCGGAGAAAAATGCCAACTAAGTGTATAAAGTACCAGGAACATGGAAAAATGTTAAAAATGTTTTATGTGAAAGCAAATTGTTGGAAAAATAACTCGAAAAAGCGCAATATTTTTTTCAATTTTTACAAACTTAATTTTTAATTAGAGACTATTTTTTCAAATTGTGGGCCTTTCTGGTACGTGTACAATGAGCCACTTTGTAAAATTTGAAACGAAAGCATTATTCAAGAGACTCCAACCCCAACTTTCATGAATCTTAATGCAACACTAATCGATACCATAAACTGCTAATTAAATTAAATCTATTGACCATATATGTGTCAGTAAGTGTATTAATAATTGATATAACCGAAACGTTGCTTGTTTTCCACTGTAGTGCAATTTAAGCACGATTTCAATTCAACCGTTGTGTAATTAAATCATAAATCCATAATGCATTATTTATGGACTTGTGTTTATTGAATTTTTCACTAACGTTTTCGCACCATATAGGGACTTGTCTGGACATAAAATTTAGGTGCCACTCTTTAATATAAAACGTTTTCCAGAAACGCAAGACAAACTGTTGCCACTACAAGAAGCTATGAATAAAACACATCTAATCTCATGTTTCAGTGCCAATCTTTTCGTCTAAACACTGGTTATTTTTGAAGTTGTGTGCAATTTTTTCTATAAAAATTTCAAGGTTTCAAACAGCAATATCGCGATTTACAGAGACAAAAATTTAATATTTCATTATAATCATTACTTTCAAATTACAATAAAAAATAAGCTAGTGAAAGGATATAGGATATTTTATATTTAGTATTTTGTGACAAAGAACATTATTTAGGACTCACTTGTTTTCTTCTTTTTACATGCAATTTACAACAACGATGCTGCTCTTTAAGACCTTTATGTTTGATAGAATTCTATAGTGTTTACAAGACACAAGAATGATTCAGCAACTTTATTTATTTGTTCTACCTAAATTTGATTGATGTTTTTGGGCGTTCGCAGATTAAACAATTAAACTTTTTTGGTCAGTAAATTTGATCGGTTTATTATAAAAAATTACTTAAAGTAGGAACCTACTTTTTATTTTCTTTATTGTTGTTATGATGATGCAGTGATTATATTTGACTGTTGAAATCTTTCCCCGACAATTTTTAATGAATTATGATTCCTAATTGGCGTCTTCGGATATTTTATTCAAGTTTTTACAGCCGTTCATTAGACATTCACCATCAGTTTTATTCTTTAGTCAATGTTAATGAACTTTGAGTCAACAAATTGCACAATTGCCTGTTACTAAAGAATGCTAATTCCCATGATGGGATTCTCTTAAAAATTAAACCAGTACCACATGAATCAATCAGTTTTCGCTCAGTAGTACTGTTATTAGAGACACAACCAGGAATTACATTTCTTGGTTTCTAGAATTACTTCTAAGCTTGACATTTTTTTTATCAAAGAAATTGTAACGTCATGTTTCAATTAAGATTTGAACACTATGATGCATTAGGTGTCTAATGTTAGATTTTTGTTAGAGATAATTACTAAAAAGGTTATTCCAGTTGTCGTTTCCATCTTTAATTATTGTGGTTGGACAAGAATTTTAAGACAGTTTTTATAATGGTTAATCATAATTAATTAAATTTTATTTACTTATGGTATAGCCACTGGTGGTCGAGTAATGAAAATATTTCTTTCGTATTGTTATAAACCTGAATAAAATATGTAAATTATGGATGTTGCAATCATGCATTTAGTACTAAAGGTTCAGTTATCTGACCATTGGATTCCTGGGTCACCATACTTAAGAACATGTTAAAGAAGAGTTCAAATAATATGCATCCTGCTGGTATATTTTATTTTTATATTCGCTTAATGTTGTAATAATGTGTTAGCTTTAAAAGAAATGGATTTGAAATGGAAATTAAATTAATTTTTATTAACATAAGTAGTTTTACTCTCACTAAAAAACATCACTATTCTGATTTACAAAAATTACCAAACTGGAGTAACTTATTAATAACAAAATTAGACACAAAAATGATTTGTCTTATTTAGTCTAAATCTAGTTTGCTTAAAACTTTATTTTATTTTATTTTTTTCTTATTTATCAAAGTAAAAAGCACCTTCAAATTTTCATGGATGTCCTTATACATAGTCTGCACATTTCGTCAATTTACTAAATTTGTGTCATAGAATTTCAAATATTTATTACTTAGGACATTGCAGTTTACAACAAGAGTAAATACTCGGTGACCTTTAGCTTCACCAGGATGCATCAAGAGTGTCAATATTTAAACAACGCTTTTTCAGGCAAGTGGATTAGCATACCTCAAAAAGAAATTCAATGATCATAAATGCGCCGGATTTAGCGCTCTTATTTTTTCTATTGACTTAACTGAAGGAAAGATTTCGTAATTAATTAAACCGTTTTGGCTTAACATTTTATAGTTTGTATGAATAAAACTAAAAGCAACATTTGTGCTAGAGTAACTGGATTAATATTTTTGGAAAAATGATTACTATTACAAAGAAAAAAATATAGAAATAAAACGGAGGTACTTGTATGTTTACTTATGATTTTTTTCTGGACTTATGTTATATACTGGGTCTCAGAAATCTCAGAAACAACTAAATAGGTCAAAACATAACTTATTTATTGTGCTTGAATGTAAAATTGTAAGAATTTAGACAGGGATGGAAAATAGAGTTCTGAAATTTTTGCAAGCTTCTATTGTTAGCTCTGAAACTTTCAGTTGGCAGTGTGAGGTTTTTTTTGAATTCAAATGTTGACGATTCTATTTTTGGTGTGATTCTGTAAATCAATTTTGGTATTAACTACACCACACACGTGTTCTTCGATTCAAAAAAAAAAAATCCTGCTTAAGTAAGTATGAAGCAATATTTGAACCCGAGTTTAAAACACAAAAATGACCTATAAAATGATGCTAATTTAAATAATAACTCGTGTCCGATCTCTATTTATAAGAATTTTACAGCCCTCGGAATGTGGGTATGAAAAAATTTTTTTTTCTAAATTTCGGGGGCTGTAAAATTCTTATCAGTAGAAATAGGACACGAGTTATTATTTAAATTAACATCATTTTATAGCTCATTTTTGAGGTTCAAATATTGCTTCAAATTTACGAATAACCCTGTATAATTTCTATCATATCTTGGGAATTTGAAACTGGAAATATTTCTATTTTCTGGTTTGGAAAAAGTTAGTTCTAAAAATCTTTTTAAAGTATTCTCATCGGACTTAGGTACTCGAGGAAAAATTTTTAGTTGTTTTGGTTTTTTGTACAAAATTGTCTTGAGAGTAATCGATAAATAGGTGGTAATGACCTCAATATTTACAAATTATTAACACGTAATAACAGCATAATATAATTTTGTAACTATTTTGTTCCCAAATTAATAATTAAAATAGTCGCGGTGGTTTTATTTTATCTGATTTTGTTGGCATTACGTTAACGAATCAATATGTATTTCACATTTAAAACAAATAATTTGTAATGAAGTATTTGTTTGTTTAGAGAAGAGTAAACAATTTTAAAATTGGTTATAATTACATTATTTAAGCAGAATTTTAAAAATTTAAATAGTTGCACATATTTTTAATTATATTATTCTTCTTTCTTTTATGAAAAAATGACATTACAATACACAGAAAATGTCATGCTGCTTTATCGTGGCTTGTTCACACCTGAATAATAATTTAGTCGATATCATCTTGATTGTCATCAATTGCCTGCATTGTGCATTTAGTTGCGAGAAGTATCGATATTATTAAACTTTCTACAGTTTCTCTGACGCAAAACAGTTTTAATTAATATTAAGTTTAATACACAAAATAACTGAGAAATCAATCATCAAGCTGTGAAGAGTTTAACACAGTTTAAAACTTTAAGATAGTTTAAGAAAGAGCAAGTGGAGAGAGAGAGCAAAAGAAGAGTTATCTTAAAAAAAAACTTTCTTGGAATAAAAATTTTAATGCTTTTGATTCAACTTAAATAAATTCATATTGAAATTTTGTTTGGTTAGGCGTTTTTATTATGCAGTAGTAATAAAAAATGTCTTATACTTGAGGCAATGTAATAATAATTGCAGGTGATTTTCTTGATTAGCCCTACCTTTTTTGTTTCGTAATACTATAAGTACCAATACCACTATTACAGGCAATATACATTCAAATTAATGAGATTAATCTTAGTCAATGTTTTTTTCTTAATGCAGAAGACTTGTATATAATGTAAATGGTCACATTTGGTTGCAAAGATAGCATAAAACTGTCGTTATTTTTATAGCAGACACTCCGACTTTGTCATCATTATTTTCTTAGATAAATTGGGAAAAATATTCATTCATGCTTTAACAATTTCCAAACACAATAAATTGTACTTTTGAAACGTTTCCTCATTACAGACGAACTTCGTAGTAATGGTACAATAAATACAATGTCAATATACAGGTGTCCCAGCGAATTGAAAAATTCTATTAGTGACCTTTCAATGCTAAAATTAAAAAAAAATATATACGACATTGATAGATACTAATCTAGTCCATTGCCTAAAATTATTTTCAACTATACTGCGTGTCTCAAAAATAAGTTACAATACAAACTTGTGTTTGTTTAAATGAAACACCATATGTTTCTAAGCGTTTTTGGATGTAGATTTTTATGACAATGTTTTTAGACTTTTATTAGTCGATTTTGCTTAGTTTTAAAAATAATGACAAAAACATGCACTTTTTAAAAATTTATTACACAAAAACTAAGACATCTAGAAATATTTTTTTTTACTACCGCAAAGAAGAAGGTACAAGCTATAAGGTTGTAACATTTTTTTAGTGTGTTGCATTTGCAAAGGTAAAAAAATTAAGGCGAATGTTAAAAGTTCAATAACTTAAAAAAATTAAATGAAACATCCTATTTATTGTTTTTGCATTCAAAAATTATTAAATTGTCTTTCTAAAATTATTTACTTTTAGGTGTTTATAATCAATAACTAAAAAGATATTTAACGTTAAACATAAAAAAATATTACTATTGTTTCAGTAGCCAAAAAGTGCACAGTTGCACAAGAGATGGAAAAAATATCACATTTGTGTTAAACTGAATCCATATTTTTTATTTTTACAATAAAATAATTCGAATTTCAGTATTTATAACGACTTTTATAATCTCTGGATAAATCAACGGATAGTAATATTGAATGTTAAATATCTTCTTATTTATCAATTTTAGACATTAAAAGTTTATTTTTTAGATAGACAATTCATCAATCTATTAGATGCAAAAATAAAAATAGGGTGTTCCATTTAATTTTTTTAAGTTATTTAACTTTTAACAAACTTCTTAATTTATTAATCTTTACAAATGCAAAGCACTAAAAAATTGCTACAGCTTTAAATTCTGTACTTTCTTCTTTGCAGAAGTAAGAAAAAATTTGTTCTAACTGTCTTAGTTTTTGTGTAATAAGTTTTTAAAAAGTGCATGTTTTCGTCAAAAAAACGTCTTATTTCTAAAACTGAGCGAAATCGATTAATTTTTCTAAATTGGATAGTGGCATCATTTTTCCACTTAAAAAGGAAATCGTGGCTATATCTGAGCGGTGCTATTAAATTTTATAACTTAATAAAGGTTTACTTGGATTACGGAACATTAATTGAAGCTAATGATGCTAATGGTATACTTCTGGTTGGGCCGGAAGATAAGAATAACATGAAATCGTTGAAAAACCTAGATTTAAGCTAATGAAGTATTTTTATCAAAACCTTAGAAATAATCAAATATACAGAACTGATTGAGGACAGTCATTACTCATGAGTCAATGCAACACATTTTTGTTGTATCGAGAAATTGATGAAGTGGAACTAGAAACTAATAAATAGATTAACTTCTGGAGCAAATTTTATTGCTTTTTCATATGATTTTAGTTACAATGTTTGAACATTTAATTGTTGTTATGCATTTTTTTATTGGGTTGCTGATTGAGGTGGAGGTTGCAAGTATTATCTTTTTCAGCATCTGAAAGAAGAGTGCTGCGTTCATAATTTAAATGACTCGGGAAAGCATTTTTAAAATACTTGAATAGTCCAGAATAATGTATTTCAATTTAAAACATTGTTTCAGCTATTTCAGTCCAGAGCCAGAGGAACACTAGGAATGGCAGGGTAAGAATTTCATTTCATTAAAATAGTCATTTCAGAGTTGCTTTAACTAATTTTCATTTAATAATTAAAATGTAAAAACGAATGAGAAACGGCACATTTTTGAAAAAACAACTACATTGTATTTGCAAATTAAATAAAATGTTAAACTGGACTAATTAGTTCAGCTCTCCAATATACACAAATAATCTCTATCGTACAAATTAACCATGAATGAAAAGTTATTTTTAGACGACACAACAAATTTCCTATCTTATCGTCCGGTGTTCAACAAAATTCCATTCATGTCCATATTTACGTAAATGCTGCCATTTAATTTCAAATAAAACTTGTGATAGTCTGGAAACTTTCTTTTGGTAAAGAATTCTAATACATTTCGTGACCTAGGAGCACACTCGTAAGAATCACCTATAAATTTATCGAAGTTGAGAAGAGAAGACTTTTATTTCGCTTTAAGAGAAATCAGTTATTACTGCATTGTTACAGCAGACGCAGGACGTGAAGTCATCCGATATTATCTTTATCTGGCGGCTTGTTTCAAATAAAACGGTATTTTTGTACAAAATTATAGACATACTCCAATCACTAGAATTAAAAATTGTGTAAGAAGTAATAAATTTGCTTTCCTAGGTCATTATTAAATTCATTTAATAAATAAATAGTTCCTAATACGTTAAGAGTAATCGAGTATGTTACAAACGATTATTCTTGAGTGGAGTATGTCATCATGTCTTTTATAGAAGTAATTACGGTGAATGTTAGACTTTTCAACAATTTTTTGCTAATTAAATTAAGAAAAAAGACCCGTTTCACGATCCACTTCAGGATTATTGTAGCTAACTTTTCACTTGAAATATCAAAGAAGTTTTTAATGTTTTCCACCATTTTTACAAAAATTGACAACAAAAATTTTGCGATTTTTCACATTACAATATTTTTGTTATTCTTTGTCGGATTTCAACGAATTTTTGTTTGGCTTAGAGAACATTGTAATTTAATTCAATAACATTTCTAGTTTGTTTCGTAGATGTTATACCTAAAAGACTAGAGCACTGTTTTTTACTTTTTTTATACTGAGCTGTAGTGTGCAACAGAGACAAAATTAAGTTTTTACTTATTTTAGATTATTGTCCGATTTTTTCTGAATGAGGACCAATTTTTTTCAAAATTTTATCTTCTGGTGCCCCAGAGATACAAAGCATTGAAAAAGATAAGGTTACTAAATATTCGTTCAGAAAATAGGCTACATAAAAAGCTAATTAAACCGAAAATTGTTGCTTATGTCACCAAAAGAGTACAATTACGTCTTTGAACCCAAAAAATCTGAAAAACTTGGAACTTCAAAAAATTACAAGTAAAACGGTTAATTATTGTTATTACCATTATAATTAATATTACCACAGTTTAGTACAAAAATTGAAACATTATTTCAGCTTATTTTTAAATTATACTTTTAAATAGAAAAACAATTTTGAAATATCCCAATTTTTTTACCAACTCAATTTTTTTATGTATGTGGTGTGTTTTAAGGTTTTACAATAAATATTTTTATAGGAGCAAGTTTTTGTTTTCTATTTTTATTATTATTTTTTTGAAGATACCAGAAGAAATGTGTTTTCAAATTATTGAAAATTTAAGGTTTTAGCATAGAATTTTCTTCAAAAATACACATTTTTTTTTAAATAGTAACAATAATTAATTACGATTTAAAAATAAAATTCAAAATCATAGTTGTTTTGATTAAAAGTGATTTGGATTTGGATTTTTTTTCTAATTAAATCAAATTATTTTAACATTTAAAAACTCAAAAACAAATATCAACTTAATCAAAATTTTGAATTTTAGGCAAAATAATCTCAAATCAGGGTCAAAAACAAAAGAAATTTTCACAGTACCTTCATGACGTTTTTAATTAAACACTTGATGGTGACATAAAAATTTTCATTTACAGTTTTTTTAATTTTATTTAACGGTAATGCGTATAAAAGTGGCAAATTACCCAATAGGTCAATCCTGAAAAAAAATGAAGGACATAAGTAAAAAACAGTGCCTTCGTCTTTTGAGTATCACAGTTAGAAGACAAAACTAGAAATGTTATTGAATTAAATTACAATTATCTACAAAGTTTTTTTTTCCAAACAAAAATTCGTCGAAATCTGAAAAAGAATAACAAAAATATTTTAATGTGAAAATCGCAAAATTTTAGTTGTCTGGTACATTTTGTCGAATTTTTGGAAATTTTAACAAATGCAACCAACACGTTTTTGTATCAAAAGCGCCATTATTATGAGTAGTTCAATATTTCATAGTTAAAGAGGTCAGTTTTATTTTTCTTAGCCACAAAGTTTGTTAAAAAAAATCGATTAATTCCTTTTTATTTGTACTGACATGTGATAAAAATAAGGTATACATCATTTTTCATTCTTCTTATAACGGAAGTTACTTATTTAGAAAAAAAAGTTACATAATTCAGAAAAGAATGCCAATAATCTGAAATCAGTAAAAACTTAAGTTTGTCTCTGTCGCACACCACAGTTTAGTATAAAAATTCAAACATTATTTCAGCTTATTTTTAAATTATACTTTTAAATAGAAAAACAATTTTTAAAAATAATAGATTAAACAGGGCCGTAACCAGGATTTTATTTCGGGGGGGGTTTCTTGTTGGTCCATGAAAATGAAATGAAAGAAGACGGATTAAAAAGCAAAAATCTCTAAGTACACGTTTTTATTTTAAATTGAAATAAGAGATCCTAATTAAACATAAAAAAATACAAATTAACTCACAAACGTAACAAAAAATAAAATAAATTTTTAATACTTTTTATTGTTACAAATTTAAACAGGAGATGAATATTCATTTTTAAAACAAAAATTTTCTATGAACATATATCGAAAAATGCTACGCAAGGGGTGCGTCTTTTAATAGGTTTTTTTTCAATATTTCCGAAATCATTTAAAAAAAAAATTCAAAATTTGCTACAGATGATAACTTTTATACACCTAAACAAGTACAAAAATAAAATGTTGAAATTTTTAATTAGGTGCTTCCTAAACTAGATGGGATTAGGGTAAAAATTTACTCTAACTGTTTTGTCTGTGGTTTCTTGCCACTTTCAGCAACAAAATTGCATAGTTTTTCATAAAAAAAGGTCTTTTGTGTTTTTCCGATACAATTTACGGATTTTTAGTAAAATTCGGTTTAAAAATTTGTTACAGACCATAAAAATTAAAAATTAAATTTGTTTTACCGTCTAGGACGCCCCTGATTAAAAATTTTGTTATGTGGCATTTGTTTGGGTGTACATATAAAGGTACCAAATTTTGTAATTTTATCTATTCTATAATATTAGAAAAAACCCTTTAAAAAACGTACCTTTTTTAGGGGGTGTAGCTCCTTTTCATAGCATTTTTCAAAACACTTTTATCTTAAAATTAAATATTCTATTAACTATTTAAATTTGTACCTAACAATAAAAATGAAACACTGTATAATTAACACATAAAAAATTAATTCACAAAAA